CTTCTGAAACTTCACAGGTGTTTCACCTGCCCTGAGCTGGTGTCTTGCTGTGTTGCCTGAACTCAAGTGGTAGACCTGCCCCTCTCTCAAGTAGCTGGGACTGCACTTCTATACTAAATGATAGGATCTGCTGTGAACTGAGGCCCGGTAAATATTGCTGGATTAATTTATTATCTACTTGATCCAACAACTCAGTTAGGCTACTGGCCTTAAGCTAGAGATAAGGAGATAGACCTAGAGGGGTCAAGTGACTTCCCTAGTAACATGTTTGTCATAGAGTTAGAGCTACTCACGCTGTTGACCCATTCATTTTCCAAACAGCGTTGTTCACTGATGTTCTAGTTACACGCAGCCATGTACAGAACCAGACTTAAGAGTTATATGGGCAAGGATGTTTTAAGGTAACCCATGGAAAGAGCCTCAACTAGTGTGTCCACAAAATGGAGCTTGTGACCATAAGGACACATAGCCAGTTTGGCTGTCCCTGCTGCTCTTCATAACATCCCTCTCCTGTGTCACACACAAAAAGCAGACCTTTACCCATTTCCTGTCTTCCTCAGATGTACTGCTAAAAGATGAAATTCTTTCTTGTTACTTAAAGGACAATCATAAACATGCTTTATTAAAAAGTGAACAAAAGTGAAGTGAAACACCCAGGGTGTTAAGACTTCAGTGGCCCCAATGGCAGGGACTCTGTGACTCTGGGTTCAGTGACCCCAATGGCAGGGACTCTGTGACTCTGGATTCAGTCCCAATGGCTGGAACTCTGTGACTCTGGGTTTTCTAATTCCTCACTTTCATAGAGATTATAGGAGGCTCTAATGAAGCTTTTAACATTTAAAAGTGTTTGAATGGGTAATAGGCCACATTTGGAGTTTGGCTCTTGTCACTCATAAGGTATCCAAGATGAAGTCCCATTGCAAAACTCCATTTCCATGTGCTAGTCTTTATGGATGGCTACCCAGCACATGCATGGAGAGAACAGTCTGGAAAAGGGTTGGTGCTGGACAGCACTTCATCCTAGTGAAGCGGTATAATCCACAGGTGAAAAACAATCTGAGTCTGTAAGAGAGTCCAGCGGGTAATGGTGTCTGCCACCAAGTCTGATGACCTGAGTTTGATTCCTGGGACCCACGCTTGTCCTTTTGACCCCCCCACACACCATGGCACACATGCCCCACACAAGTATGTGTAACTTAAAAACCACATTTCTCACTGAGATGTAGGTCCCCAAGTAGTTTTGCTTTTTATAGTTATCAAAATTAATGTGTGTTGTTGCCATTATTTTGTATATTCATACAAGAAAAGAAAAGAACAGTTGGCCTATGGTTTCATAATCAAATGTGGAGGTGAAGAAGAGATGATTCTAATTATTTGTGGTAGTTACATTCTATGAAGTTATCTCAAATACTGAACTGCAACATTGTCCTTGGGGGAGATACAGAACTAGGAAACCAAAAGGTCATAATGCACATCTCTTATGTTTAATTTATGTACTTGTGGATGTGAGCATGTGTGCACAAGGTCGGTCATAAAATTCTGTCAACCAATCAATACGTGACCTTATTTTATGGGCATTTTTGGAAAATGTATGCTGTAAGTGTTATTTACAATAAGACATCATCTCAAGTAGAGCACTGTGTAATATACCATACCATGGCTGTGCTGGTTTGTCACCTATAAGCACATATACAGAATGTCCATGACCAGACAGTAAACACAGCACCACACACACATACCGGATGCTGTATAGTAGGAATGTAAATAAGGCCTTGAGGAAAATGCTATGCAAAGATCATGTGGTTGGCTTCATGAAAATGTTAAAATTGGAGCCGGGTGTTGGTGGCGCACGCCTTTAATCCCAGCACTTGGGAGGCAGAGAGGCAGGTGGATTTCTGAGTTCGAGGCCAACTTGGTCTACAGAGTGAGTTCCAGGACAGCCAGGACTATACAGAGAAACCCTGTCACACACACACACACACACACACACACACACACACACACACACACACACACAAAAAAAAAATGTTAAAATTGCACTGTAGAGGGAGCTAGCTGCAAGATCAGTGTGCTTTGAACTCTGACCTTGTGGGGATTGAAATTGTTCAGCAGAAAGGGAAGATGTGGATAAAGATGGCTCTCCCTTAGAAGATTGGCTTTTTTTTTTATAGACTTAATTAAATTGGCTTAAGGCACAAACGCAGTGGAAGCGAGGCTGCATTCAAGCATGGGCTCACATTCTCCATGTCTTAGGATATTTTTTCCAAGGCAGCCTTGCATTGTTACTTTAGCTGCAGCGAGGACACTTTGTGTTGTCTTGCTGGTATTTACTCTGATGCCATGCTTGATCATTTTGAGTGTGCCAGGACTTGGTCAGTGGTTTCTACTGCCCTTCCAGCCCAAATTTCCTCCAGTTTTCCTTCCTGTTGTCAAACATTCCCCACTCATTTGCTGTGTAGTGTTCACTATGGTTTTGATGCTTTTACTTATATTTTCTGTCATACTTTCAAAGTTGTTAAGGCAACTTGGCCAAACCCTTTTCTGACACTCACTGGTGATAGTCAGCTTGCTGCTGCCCCAGGCTGTGTCAACATAGCTGATATTGCACATGGTGATGGGTTTCCAGTAGTCTCACATGGTAGTTTCCTCGCTAGCCTTTGAATGTTAAAAGCTTTACTAAACAGCTTGCCTTTAACGCTTGTATCGTGCCCTGACGAAGGGGGTTAAATGAGAGACATGACGTATTTGGGAGCGTGACAAGAATATGTGCGGGGGACGAACATTTTCAGGTTCTTCACAGAGATGAACGGGGACGTTAAGTTAATAACACCCAGAAGGTAAGGTTTTTGTCCTGGAAAAGTGTTCATGGACAGGGACCAAGCAGTTGTGGAACCAATCCCAGAGCATTCCGGATGCCATACATACATATGTCATCTCCTGTGATCTATAGATGAGGTGTTTTGTCTTAAGTGGTCCTGGGGTTTGGTTTTTGTACCCCATTAGGGTCAGCTTATATTTAAAATTTCCCCTGGGTATCGACACACAATAGCAAGGTTGCGTGGTCTCTGAAGCATCTGCCCAGGAGTCTGAGAAGCTGTTTTCGTCACAGTTTTGTTTTCCAACATTTATGAAAAACACGCCATCTCCTCAGCACTGGAAACCTGTTCTTCAGCATAGCCCTAGCTACAGATAACAAAATCTTTCCTAAACTCTTTATCCGTACAGCCACTCTGAACTGTAAGTCGATACTTTCATGGTTTATCAGTCTCTTAATGACCAGTTGAGGAAACTTTGCGTGTTTCTGGCCCCAGGTAATGTAACTATAAATTTCACTTGCTTTCAGACTCAAAATGCTGTTTAATCCTTTTTTACTGGTCATCTCATGAATCCACATTTTGTTGCTTTTTCATCCTCTCCACAGCTTCATGAGGCATTCAGTGTTGCTTTAGCAATTTTCTGGAGCAGCCTGGTCCACCAATGAATCTTTTTTCAAGTGGATATATTACACTATAACTCATGCCCCAATAAAGCTTATCTAATATAAAGATTTTTTTTTCCCCTGTAGGACACATGACTACCTCCCTGCCCTTAGGAACTCTTTGTCAGCACTCTAGAATGTTTGGGGGACATCAAAACAGTAACACCACCAACTAAAAGTACATGGCAAACATGGTACTAAATATGAGAGATGGCACCCACTTACAGTTTTGAGAACTAAAGCAACTGAGCCTGTCCTTTGTCCATTTAGATCATGGAATGCACACGTAAAGCAAACTTGTTACTGGGAGCGTGCTGTATCTATCCTGGGGTTAAGTGGGAAAGTTGACAAATAAGCCTGTGGTGACCTTATGAATGGGTCTCTTGCAAAAGAAAACAAGGACACTGTGGGCGGTCCTCTTCCCTAAGAACATTTCAGCTGAGGGAGGGGACTCATTTCTCTCAAGAGACCACTGGATTCCTGAGCATAGTGGATAGGTGCTGTGATTTCTCCTTATTTTTTTTAAAATCTTGAATATTTTCAGTGCTTTTGGATGACGATTTAAATACCAACATTTAATTCTTCTAATCCATGTCAGAACATCTGCTCTTTATGAACTCTTAGGTTAAGAAACTTTAAGAATTAAATAAAAAACTTCTCTGCTATATCAGGGTCTTCCTTACATTGTTCCAGTCATGGACTCTGCTCTTGTTTCTCTTAGCGTCTGGTACGGTCGGGTACATAACATAACGTGGCAAGTGTGGCAGGATGCCTCACTTCTGTTGGCAGAAGTACTGGGTGGTAGGTCAGACCTTCCCTCATGGTGAAGGCTAGCAACAGGAGCCTGCTCTGAAGCCTTACCCACAGTGGCCAGCAACTCTGGTTAAGCCTGTGTTTGGGAATGTAAATCTGGGCATTTTCATGACTACCTGCAGAATTTATGCTCATTAATTTAAGCTATGGCTTTATAACTGAAACTGCACTTTGCAGGAACCTAGGTGAGAAAGAAGGGAAGTTCTCTCGAACCTTTTTTGGGGCTGTTCGAGCAGCAGGGGCAGAGATCTGTGCATTAGTGGGGTGCGGCCGGCAGAATGCAGGTCAGGAGGCGAGGATGGGAGCCCAGAGCAGGGCCTGGAGGAGGTGGCTTGGGGCTGGAGCGAAGATCTGCAGGAGGCAGGGCCGGAGCAGAGCCAGGAAGTGGAGTGCGTGAGGAGGGATCCCTGCCATGGAGGAGGCGGGCGCGCACGATGCCGGAGCAGGGCCTGAAGGAGATGGGACGGGTGGTGAGGGGAGCCGGGCCGTGCCGGAGGAGAGCACGAGCTGGGTTGGTGCAGGGCTGGGAAGAGGTAGCCGCAGCTGAAGACGCAGCACTCCCGGGAAGAGACCGCGGGGGCGCGGTTTGACGACGTCACTTCCGGTGCGAGGCGCGCTTCCGGGTGTGGGCAGGGGCGGAGATTGGTGCAGCCCGAGGAAGGGGAGCGGATGAAGCGTCCGGCCCGCTCAGCACCGCTGTGTGTTGCAGGTTTACCCGGAGCCGCGGAACGAGAGCGAGTGCCTGAGCAACATCCGCGAGTTCCTGCGCGCCTGCGGGGCGTCCCTGCGCCTGGAGGTGGGTGAGCGCGGGGCCGGGCCTCGAGGGGGTGGGGGAGGTGGGGTCGGGCTGGGGGAGACAGGGCCGGGGTGGAGGATGGCCGGGGGTCGGGTTGGGGTCGCGGGAGCTGACGCTGTCTGGGGCGACCGTTCCTCACAGCCGCCTCTATGGAGCGGGGCTTCTTGTCCCAGGAAGAAGACCCTCGATGTCTCCTCGCGGCAGCGTGTGAACCCCCATACCTTGTTCTGGTTCCACGAGAACCACTGGTTCATCGTGCTCCTGTGCAGGTGGCACGTTGGTAGTCCCCGTTGCTCGAGGACATCTGTCCAACCCTGAAAACCGCCCTTTGGGATTCCCCAGCATCATATCCAGGTCTGACCCAGCCCTCAGCAGGTGGTCAGACAAGGTCCAACCTGAAATGTCGAGGGCCAAACCCCTCTTGGTCACACATCCTCATATGCCGCCTCTGCAGGCCCTGGATCCTCCACCCATAATGCTTACGTTAGAAAACTCACGAGCCTGAAACTGGGGTTTGTAAAACCTGCTTCTGGGGACTACTCCGTGGAATGTCTACTCCGTGGAATGAACACCCTTTGTGGTCCTTCAGTGCCAGTTCCCCAGGGATGTCGCTGTTTCGTTGCTTTTGTTATTCCTGGGGAGGTGTTGTAGATCTAGAAAACTGGCATTGCTTTTTTTGGGTGAGCTTTGCAGTCACTTGCGATGTTTGCAACCTCACCGTGTGAAGGATTGGTACTATCACACGCACTCCAGTCCTGTGATGACCCCGTGTAGCTTTCCTTTCCTGGTAGGCCAGTCTTCGTATGTTTCTTGAGATGAATTGTAGAAGCCGCCCAATCACTTTTGGAAAGTGTATTTAATTGAAGTTGGACAGATTCACGTGTTACTGTTTTTTTGTTAATTTATTTGATGTCTTCAAGGAAATTGTTGCAGATAATTGGGTAGTGGCTGGGCAATTTCAGAAAGCCTCACAGCTCTTTAAAAATGGGGTGTTGGCTTCCCTTGGTGGCACCGGCCTTGCTGTTTTAGTGACTGGAGATTTACTTTGTCTGACCTTTGTCATAGGATTCTATCCATATACGCCTGGGTTTTCTTTATGTTACAGTTTTTTTTACAGACTCACCCTACACATTAAGATAAGCAGTGTAAATTGCTATAAGAAATTGCTTTAAAGAAAAGTTGCCCCTTTCAAGCTTTGCAGAGGTTGTAAAGGCTGTTGTTGTTTCATGTAACAATGACTTTTATGGCTCTGAGTTTGTCCAGAGATGCTGTCAGAACTCAACAGGGACCTGTCCCAGGCACCTAGAGCAGCTCTGACACAAGGTCCTTGCTAAGGATTGGTTACTGAGAGGATGAGTCTAGAGTTACACTTGTGATAGCAAATAGGTTTACCCTTGAAAGAAGAAAAAAGACCAATTGTGTCTTATTTTGTGTTAATTTTAAAGAGTAAATATCTCTTCCAGTTACTTAAAGTATAGTAGAGAAAAATAAAAAATTTTCCTCAAGGTTAGTATACCATACTTAAACCCCCAGTTTGTTCAGCCATCACATTTTAGGAAATTCCTGGAGAAAGGAATGGCTCTAGTTCATCCATCCTCTGTAACTGTGAGGGGAGAGGCCTATTCAGGGAAAGACCTAGTCTTCCATAGACAAAGCCCTGAGGGAAGCGCTTTGGACCTTTGAGCAATACTAGGACTGACACATTTAATATCCGACAATTCTCAAAAGATAGGAGACTGAAAATATTTTAAAATTGAATGAGAAACAAAACAACTTAAATTCCAAGTTAGCTTTTGTTCTTAGTACTTAACACCAAGGGGCTTTCCCCAGGGTGTTGTTTCAGACTGGATCGAGTTAGTAAGAAAGGTTGTCTAGCTCACCCCACTTTAGCTCCTAATGATTTCATTAAAGAAGAGAAACTTACCATTACCATATCAGTTATTTTTAAGGCAGTGTGCCACAGCACTTGCTCAGAAGTCAGAGAGACTGATGGTTGTTTCCTTGACCATGTGAGCTCCAGGGAGTGAGTTCTTTAGCTTTAATGGCAGTGGCCTTTACCTGCTGAGCCATCTTGCTGGCCTCTTATTATTATTATTTTTTTTTACAACTTATTTTCCCACCAACCGTTGTCCCTAAAATATTTGGAGCAGGTGCTAGGGAGATAGTTTATCAGGTAAAGTGCTTGGTGTGCAATCGTGAGGTCTGGAGGAAAAGGCCAAGTGAGGTGCTCAGGATCTTAGTGATGTGATTTGGAGATAGTAGGAGTCCCTGGGGCTTGCTGCCCAGAGAGGAGAGCCAATTTGCCAAGTTCAGGTAGAGACCTTACCTCAAAAAAAAAAAAGTAAGTGGAAAGTGGCTGACAGACATCCAGCGTTTACTTCTGACCTCCACGTGCATGCCCACATGCGTACATGTGTATGTGAACTTGGAAACATTAACATGCTCACACATGTGTATACATACATGCACTTATATTTTCTGATTTGTGCAGAAAACTGGGCACAGCAGTACCAGTCTCTTTCCATTTATATCTATAGAACAACCAAAACTGTGGTAGTGGTGGTGCTGTCGGCAGTGATGCTGTGCTTGGCGTTTGCAAACAGAAGTACCGCAGTGAGTTCACTGTGAGACAAGTTACCAAGTCCTCTGTCTGCAGTTCCTCAGGTGGAATGGCTGCAGAGATAGAGAATTCGTTCTCTTATTTGTTATTGTTCTGTTCTCAGATTATATTAGGTATATTTGTTGATGATCACAGTATATTAACTGTCAAGATTTTCTTACCCAATAATGATAATTAAGTACCTGAATGATTGAAATGCGAACTGTAGCTATCCAGAGTAGAGGCTGCCTTCCTCGAAAAAACTGGTTTTTCTTGTCACTCCCATGATGCTTGTAACCAGCTTTATTCAGTATCTAAAATTGGTGTTAGAGAGATGGCTCAGCGGTTAAAAGTACTGCCTGCTCTCCAGAGGAGCCTGGTTCAGGTGCTGGCACCTACGTGGTAGCTCACAAACATCTCTAACTCCAGGTCCAGATCCGATGTCGGTTCTGGCCTCTGCAGGCACACACACCTGGTGCATAGATGTGCATGCAGGCAAAGCGCCATAAACATGAAATAGTAATAAAAGCAAAACCCCTTAAATTAAGGCCACATGAATCTAGTTCCAGCTGTGTTTTTCGAAGCTTAGCCCATGCCATGGCACACAGCATCAGGGATATTAGCAGCAAAGATATGAAATGCAGCAGTGTACTCTGATTTAGTTGTTCATCAGAGAAATATCCATTGTTCTAAGAGTTTAGTTGTATATTACACATTTGCAAATGTTATAATTCCCACTTTTTATCATGAATTTTGAAAAGTTGGAATTTAGCACTATTATAAATGGCTGTACTTCAGGTCATTTTCTAGAGTCTAAGTTGAAATTATGAAGTGGGATCCATGTTAGCTTTGAGCGTTTCTGGCAGAGTCCTCTGCCCAGATGGCACTGGCCTTTCCAAGGCGGGGGACCTGACAGAGCAGTGTGTCACCACGCTCTCCTGCTGAAGAACTAATGTTGCTTCCAATACAGTATCTCTGCTCTGGGAAGGAAAATGAGATTCAGATGGATTTCTCATGGCTGCCAAGATGATTTCTGGGAGTCTGTCAAGTGACGCAAACCACACTCTCTTTTTTCCAGCCAGTTCCGGCTCTGGTCCACATGTGGGGCTGGAAGGGTTAATGACCCAGTGCTACAGTCTTCCACTTGTAGTCTCACACACCAGATAACATCAACATCATTTTCAGCTTTAGTTAAAACATTAATTAAAGGATTAACTGTCTTGTGAAGAGGCCATCATCCAAAGGTCTCGGTGGTTCAGAACAGAAATGTATTTTGCCCTTCCTCGTTCTTGGACGTTTTTGGCTTGTACTTTTGGTCTTTCAGTTCATTAGAGATTAAGATGCTAACTGTTCGCATAATGTTTGCTCCACAACCTAGTTTCTTAATATGGTCTAGTGTGGAGTTTCAGATGTGTGGCTACATTGTGGGGTGATTAAGCCAAGCTAGTCGCCATCTGTCACACCATAGACTTTTCTGTGATGAGAACATGCTAAGTTCTTTTTATAGCACCTTCACATGTATGTTGTGAGCTGTAGCTGCCACACTGTGTGGTGCCCACTGAAACTCATTCTCTGGCTACCTGGACTCTGTCCCCAGTGACTGGACATCCTCCCATTGCCCTGTCCACCTCCTGGCCCTCGTGACTGCCGCTTGGACTGCTCTTACCTTACCAGTTGGTGTTGGGCTGTCAGCTCACTCTACCTGCTGGTTCTCCATGTCCACTCATGCTGCCAGTGATGGCAGGGCCTCCTTCCTTCTTCCCACTCACACTCAGAGTGTTCCGGTGCTTACATGACATCTGTCCATCTCTGGTTGTTTTCATGTGGAGGCTGTTGTGAACATCTTTGCAGTATATAGGGAACACTTGTTTCTCCAGCATTGTCTGAGTTTCTTTGGATGTACACCTGGTAGTGGGATTGCTGGGCCACAGGGTGACTTTAGTCACCACTATATATATCAGTTTCTGTAATGTATTGATTAGCTTACATTCCCACCAATCAGTGTTGAAGGATTCCATTTCCTCACGTCTCACCAGCAAGTAGCTCTTGTGGTTTTGACAGTAGACTTGCTAAGAGGTCAGAGGTGATAGTTTATTGTGCTTTACTTTGTATTTCCTTGATGGTAGTGATGTTGAACTTTATGACAAATAGCAGTTGGTTATTCTTAGGCCTTTGAGAAGTGGCTGCAGAATAAAGGGTTTAGGTCGTGGTCTTCCTTCCTGGTTTGTTTGGGACATCAGCTTCTTTCCAGATGCATGCTTATAGCTCGCTCATTCACTCATGTTCTCTCTCTCTCTCTCTCTCTCTCTCTCTCTCTCTCTCGCTCTCTCTCTCTTGTGCGCGCTCTCTCTCTCTCTCTCTCTCTCTCTCTCTCTCTCTCTCTCTCTCTCCTCTCTGTCAG